GTACATACAAATCTTTCCTTCTCACATGATGTTACTCTGCTTCCTGCCTGTCATGCTATCCACTGTTTCTCCTCTGCCTTTCCTCTCTGCCATGCTGCCTTGCCTTGGAACCAGTCAACTATGGACTCCAACCTCCACAAACTGTGAGCTACAACAAGCCTTTCTCTCTTTAACTTGTGGGTGTCACATATTTTGTCTTAGCAATGAGAAAGTAACTAAAACAGTGACCTTGGATTTGAAATCCCAGAACAGCATCCTTGAGACCATAATGTTAAATGAATATATCAGACACAGTTTTAATATCACACAGCATGGTTTCCTCTTATACAGGAAACTCAAAGTATATGTAAATTAAAAAGTAAAATAAAAGACAAACAATAAGAAATAGAGAGCTCTTTTGCAAAAGGGAAGGAGAACAAGAGATGGAAGGAGGAGATAAAAAAGGGGTGAAAAAAAGTATTAAGGTGATAAGTACATGTACCAACTTTCCACAATGAATGTAATCATTATGCACTGCTGACATGCACTCCTAAAAATTCAAATTTAAAAGCTGAAAAAAGACATTTCCAAGGAAGAATTTCTCAGACATCTGAAGAGCAGGTGACTTGATTTTGAAAGAGTCACCAACCACAGAGTGTATGAGAGAGTTGGCCAAGGAAGGCAACCAGAGATAAGACCAGAAGATGTGTGCTCTCCTCTGTCTTCTCTCCTCTGTGAGGAAGATTGAATCCTGAAGGAGGAAAACTGGTCAGGCTCTCAGCCTGCATTTTTATATTCACACTGGAGGAAATAGGAACAAATGGCTAAATGAATGGGAGACAGAAATAGTTCCTACAGCTGGTGGTAAATTAGGGGAGCTAAAGGAAAAATCTGAAAGAAATAAACACTCTAACACGTGAAAAAACATAGTGGTTAAGTAAATTACAGAAGATGCATACAATCACCAAATTTATTGTCACCATAATACACACACACATACAAATATTTGTGCTCTGTCTTAGGTATGAACTGCAATAACTATTATATTCTTTGAACTTCTAGAAGGTCATTAAAATGTGTGCTGTAGTTATGAATGTAAAATACATCTAGGACAATCTCTACCCAGGGTCTGAAATACTCAGACTTACCATATAATCCTCTTCTTTCTCATGTGAGGAAATTTGACTAATAAATTCTGACAATTACACTCCAGAAAATATGCCAAAGACACTGTAACTTTTCAATAGAGAAGCCACACATCCATATCAAGATATTGGAACATGGAGGGAAACACAAGGGTGTGTATCCATATCATTATATATAATAAAGTAATGCAGTTTTTCACTTACTATAAGTAAACTAAGTAGCAGTTCAAAGTACACCGTGATATTACACTAGCTTTTTCTTTTAATTTCTAAGTGCACAGAAATATGTCCTTAAGGACATACATCCACTTTTTTACAATAAAATCCAGGGCCTAAAGCACGTCTCATAAGCACTCTGTCCCCA